GTTGTTCTTTTCTTCCTTTCTTTTGTTGTTGTTATTAATATAATCCATTAGGAGTACTCCTGATTGGAGCTGAGCTGGGAGAATCCCTTCCCAAGAAACCGTCCTTGTGAGCAAAGCCGCGTTGCTTTGCGCCAAGTCTGCTGACTCATATCTCATGCACTCACGCCGGGGCTTGCTAGGCACAGAGGTTTCATTCAGAGACATTTATTTCCTAAGAAGTTTTACCTCTGTGCCCCCCACTGCCCTACTGCCTCTGAGTGCTGCCGCCACCCAGGTCATTATCTAACAAATGAGCCTTCCAACTAACTCAAGGGTATCCTACTTAACCAACAACCTTGCGGTCAGTTTTTCTCTGGGTTTTTCTCCTGGTCTGTGTCTGAAAGAGTGCCATGAACTCATATCTCTTGGCAGTGCAAGCTTATTTGTCTCCTTCACTCTTTCCAATTGATGTTTTGTTTGGGTTTTTTTTTTTTTTTTTTTGGTTGGATGGTTAGTTGTTGGTTGGTTTTGGCTTTGGGCTTTTTTTTTTTTTTTTTTTTTTTTGCACCTATGATGGTTAGTTTAGTTTTACTGTTAACTTAACCCAACTTAGAGCCTTATCCGGGAAGAGAGTCTCAGCGCTGTATTACCAAGGTTAGGTTGGTCTTTGAGTGGTTGTCCTGACTGTTAATTTATGTAGGGAGAGCTAGTCCCTTGTGGGCAACACCATTCCCTAGGCAGGGGTCCTGAATAACATGAGAGGGGAGAGCCGCCTGGGAGCAAGCTAGTAGGCATGTATTCTCTCTCTGCATTATTCCATGGCTACAATATGACCAGCTTTCTCAAGCCTCTGTTACTTTGACGTCCCCACAGTGATAGACTGCATCCTGGGATTGTCACCAACACCCCGTCTCTCCTACGTTGGTCTTAGTCAGGGTATTTTGTGAGCAACAGAAACAAAGCTAGCATAGCTTCTGCATTCCTGCTCGGCAGCGTCAAGTAGTTTTAGAGGTTTCCTTGAAAATCCCAGCTCCCATGTTGAGAGAAGAGAGCGCAGAACCAGATGTCCATGTAAAGCAGGAGCCAGTGCCAGGCCCTTGTCTTGCAGCATCTCATTCTACCCTCACATAGCCCATTTGGGATGAGTGGCTTTGTCCCCTCCCCCCCTTTTAAATACAGGAGGATCTAAGGTGCAGAGATCAGAGTGACTTTCGGAGGAGCCCATTAGTCATTTCCTGAAATCTGTGTTTAGTCAGGAGGCACAACGAGCCTCTTTACTTTGGTAGAGGGAGCAGGCCTTCGACAGTACTTCTTTACTGCTATTGAAGCCGTAACTGGGTTGATCATGTGTCAAACTACAGGAATAATGAGCGTGTCAATTTTTATCACTGCTATAACAATAATTACAAATGTTAATTACAAACGTAGGGGCTTACCACAAATTTATTGTCTTGTTATTATTTGGTTCGTAGTTTAATATCTCACTGGACTTTTTTTTAAAAAAAAGCTTTTGGCAAGGGCCTGTTACTTTCTGGGGTGCAGTTAAGGTAGAGTCCATTTCCTGACCTTTGTCCCCCACACTCTGGTTTATGGCCCGCGTCCATCCAGTGCCAGCAATGATGGATGAAGTTCTTGTCAATTTCTCTTACATCTACACATCTGCTTGCCGGCAGCAATGATGCCATTGTTCCTGCAAAATTAATCCAGAATAATCTATTTTAAAGTCAGCTTCATTCTGGCCATCTGCTGCCTTTATTTCCCTTTGCATAAGGTAGCGAATCATAGCTTCTAGGGATGAGTGTGGTGTGGGGTATGATGGAGGAAGGTCATTGGCTAATAAAGGAACTGCCTTGGCCCATTTTATTGGTTAGAACATAGGTAGGTGGAGTAAACAGAACAGAATTCTGGGAGGAAGAGGAAGTGAGCTCAGACTCCACAGCTCTCCTCTCGGGAGCAGACGCCTCAGAGATACGCCATGCTCCCGGCTCCTGGGCAGACACACGGGATGAAGCTCCAACCCAGGATGGACATAGGCTAGAATCTTCCCGGTAAGCGCACCTAGCTGTGCTATATAGAATATTAGAAATGGGCTAGTCCAGGTGCGAGAGTTAGCCTAGAAGAGGCTAGATAGAAATGGGCCAAGCAGTGTTTAAATGAATACAGTTTGTGTGTTGTTATTTCGGGCATAAGCTAGCCAGGCAGCCGGGGTGCTGGGAACGCAGCCCCGCCGCCCCTATTACTACAGGGGTAGGCATTACCCGAATGTGACATTGAGTTGTGATTGCATCTGAGTGTATTGAGAGGTAGCCACTGAAGTTTTTGCTGTTCTTTCCATCTTTAAGTAAGAGTGCAAGTGGGTATTTTAGTCTGTTTCAGCTGATATAAAAAAATATTGTAGGCTAATTAGCTTCTAAACAGAAATTTCTCAGTTTTGGACAGGAAGAAAGGTGTCAAGAGATCTGGTGTCTGAGAACATCTGGCTTTCTTGGCATCTTCTTGCTGTGTCCTGTGTAGTAAAAAGGGAACTACTTAGTTCCCTGGATCCTCTTTTGTAAGGGCCCTAGTACCAGTCAGACTGGGTACCTGCTCCTCATGACTTGGTCTTAAATTCCTGTTAGGCATCTAAGGGGTAGCTTAAGGAGTAGGATTTCAACTTAGAAATTTAAAAGTTATACAAACCTTTAAATGTACAAAGATAGAAATTGAGGTGTTATGGAGCTTGTACAAGACATGTTGGTTTTGTTTTGTTTTTTTAAAAAAATTCAAACCAAAGGATATATTACATCTCCTGCCCATATCACTCACCGGTGATTGAACCCCACACTGTAATTGTGAATCTAGATGAGCTGGTTTTCTTAGAAACTGGAAATGACCTTTCAGCTTTGGTAACAGTCTCTCTTCAGCATTGGCTCAGTACCAGAAGATGCCGTTTCTCCGACAGGTTCTCAGAAGAAGTCACGTGTTCCACAGATGACACATGTGTTGGTAAATGTTTTCGGGGGTTGCCCTGCACCTTTCTCAACTATGGTTCAAGGCTTGCTCTGTCAACTCATTTAGTGTAAGGAATTGTATTTATCACAGTTGAGGTTGTGATCATTCGCCATTTCACTGAACACAGTGGCGTTGAAGTTAGTGGTGCAGATGCCACAAGCAGGTGTATCTTCATTGGGGGATGCAACAGTGGCTTTAATACTGCTTTTTCTCTCTTTTGTGGGGTCCCTTGCAGGGTCGAGTTCTCTGTGTCCTCGGCCTGCAGCTAACTCTAAGATATCTCTACCCTGGGGTATCAGAGCATCTTGATTGTCTTATTTCTCCTCGTGCCTTTATATATGAAGGGGTGAGCACTCTGGGTTTGGTGGGTTTGGTTTGGTTTGTTCTTTGAAATAGAGTCTCAGTATGTAGCTCTGGCTTTCCTGGAACTTACTATGTAGACCAGGCTGGGCTGGAATTCACAGAGATCCACCTACCTCTGCCTCCTGAATGCAAGGATCAAAGGCATGTGACACCAGGCCTGGTGAGTACTATGTTTTATTAGGAAATAGGAGGCTTAAAAAAAGTATACAGAATTAGCTATAACCATGTAACTTATAATTAGATACCTTCGCATTTAGTGAGAAAAATATAAACTGTTCGCATTTGAAAACGGTAATTAAGACCGGTCGACCAATATTAAGTAACAGCATGATGTGGTGCGCGTTCTTTTGTGTGTTTGCCGCAAGGCAGAGATGTGGGGAGACAGAGAGCCCTGCAGGGATACCTGTTATTACGGGAAATTTTCCTGTGTCTCTGCCTCATAATCCCAGTTGCAAGTGAGGATATGGAGACAGCATGGAGCATCAGAGACTGAGACCAGGCAGATCTGGACGTTGATGACATGGCACACGTAGGCCAGAGCTGTCACTTGGCCCGTTCTTCAGCCTCGGCTGGATTTGCTGAGGGCTTAACTGGCTCCTCCAGGTGCTTGGGAAAGACTCGGGAATTGTAGAGATGAGGTGTGCATTCTTCCATGCTTCTTCATCTCCAAGAGAGGTGACTTTGATGCCCTCTGGAGTCACTGAGTGTGACATAGCCCGAGGAGCCAGCTGTGTAAATGGAACCAGGAAAAAAAAAAATTCATTCTACTCCACTCCCACCCCTGGAAAAAGACACCAGATTTCTGGCTTCAGCTTTCCCGTGTCTCTTCCCTCCCTCACCTTCCCTTCTGTCGGAAAGCGCCAGGGGCGGGAGGGGTACGAGTTCCCTGAGTTACTCAGTAGTTAAGTTTAGAGAAATGGATGCACATACAAGGTAGTTTGTATTTTTTTTTATTTTCTGAAAACTTCCAGGAAGAAGTAGAATAAGCTGGCAGGGAATTCGATTTCACCTGTCTTTTGTGAATTCCAAAACAGATTTTAGCGGAACACTTGGAAGCACTTGAGATCTAGGGAAAACAGGTGGAGAAGCAAGCTGAGCCAGGAGACAGATTCCCTGTGGAGCAGGACAGTCCCGCTGCTTTCTTCAGTGGGTCAATGGCCTGGTAAATGTGACGAGGATTGAAACAGGAATTATTTTTATTTTAAAGATACGACAGTCGAATGTGGGTAAGGACATTGTATGGACTAATCGAAGCAATCGTTTAAAAAGTATTTTAAGATTTTGAGGGAGATCTGGTTTGATGGTTTAGGGAGACCATGGTTTGAGTCAATACGTACAATTTACATTTATTCAGAATCTAACAAATAGAACTGGCGGCATCTGTGTTGTGGTGAATGTTTCGGATTGTCCTGGGACATCACCCACCCTCCCCCAGGTCCCGGTAGGTCTCAAATGGGTACACTTTTGTTCCTGGTTAGGAGCATGGTTGCAACCAACCCAGAGCTAGAAGAGCCTGGTTCAAACCTGCAAGTGATCTGTGACAATTCCCTTCATTTATCTACAGCTGTTGGGTGTGGAGTGGCCCAGATACAGTGGATTCATTGACCCTCAGAGGACAGAGAGGATGCTGTATCGGAAGTCAAAACCTTACCGCTTTCTCTTTCTAGGACATCCCTGAGGCCTCAGACCTTCTATGATGGAAGTCACGGCAGCGCCAGAGGAGTGTGCCATATCCCAATGGCTGAACCGTTTTGCCCCAAAACAAGAGAGGTTTGTAGTGTGTCTGACAGACTTACTAGAATAGAGTATACAGTCTTGGGCTGATATCTGCAGGTAGATCAGTTTGCAGAGTAGGTATCAATCACTTTTCCTCCCTTAGCTTTCGTTTTGAAGTGTTGTGGTTTCACCAGGAATCTTTCCCCTTGATAATAACAACTCCATTCTCAGATATTTTTAGCACAAACATTTAACCTACTGAGCTATCTCTTCAGCCCCAGAACTGTTTCTGATAAAACTTTAATGTTTCCTTTTTTAAAAAGAAAGAAAAGAAACAAAAACCTACACATGGCGCTGTAGAAATGAATAATGAATGCCCAGATAAGTTGGTCTCTGAACAGAATAAATCAGGACAGCCGTTCTCATTTCCCCATCTGCCTTTAGAGGGGCAGCAAGCTAACGAAAAGTACTTTCTACAAGGCTTTCCACAAGGCCACGGAGGCCGTGACTGAACAGCCCTTTGGAAAATGGCACTTGGCCGGCACTTTGATCTGGGCGTGACAAGTGATGCCTTAACTGAGCAAGTGCCGTGGGTCAAGACCTATGACACAAGTCCAGATAAAAACTGAATGAGATTCAGATCCATAAATCTGTTTTCTCTAAAAGCTGTGAGCTATGAGTGCAGGGGACCTGGACAGCAGGGATGTGTGGTGAGTACGTAGCCAGACGCTGTCTTTCAGGAAGCTAGGCTTCCTCTAAGGGCTTTGTAGTCCAAGTCTGCTCTAGTACTTTGCTAGACATCATAGATAAACAAAATCTTGTGCTGCACGTAGGTTTATGTGATTTGAGACTGGGTCTTCCTTTTTGCAGGTCCTCATAGAAACAGCTAAGAAGCTTGGTCTTCGATGCCATTCAAAGGGGACAATAGTCACAATTGAGGGGCCTCGTTTCAGCTCTCGGGCAGAAAGCTTTGTATTCCGTACTTGGGGTGCAGATGTTATCAATATGACCACGGTTCCAGAGGTGGTGCTTGCTAAGGAGGCTGGCATTTGCTATGCAAGCATTGCCATGGCAACCGATTATGATTGCTGGAAGGAGCATGAAGAAGCGGTAAGTGGGAATCTCCTGATCATGTGAGGTATGGGCTGGGCTTCTGAGTATCACAAGCTGCTGAGAACGTCTTGTTGATTGTTTGTCTTTGGCTTCATCTTGGAAAGGGCCTTTCTGCAGCATTTTTAAGCTTTCATTAGGCTTTATAAGATATTTCCTGTAGTTCCTATTGGAAGATAAGATCTTCCATGGAGGGTACGGGGTGTTTATCTAAGAATCCATAATGATTGGCATTGTAGGCATGTAGATGTGTTGAGAATCACTGAGACTTGGACCTTACTCTAAAGGTAAGGGTGTGCTTTCAGTGTGCTTTCCTTGTACGAGTGTTTATTATGTTTATTTTCATGCAGAAAGAAACCCCAGTAAGAAAACCCTGAGTCCCTGTCCTGTTGAACATACTGTGACTGCATGGTATACACAGCTTAAGAATGGAAAGGCATACTCTTGAAGGAGCCAGCATTCTGTTTGAGGAAGATGGAGGCTATCTTAGTCTTTTATTGCTATGAAAAGACCATGACCAAAACAACTCTTGGAAAAGAAAGCATTTACTTGGGGGGGTTACCTACAGTTTGAGAGGTTTTGTCCATTGTCATTGAGGTAGGGAGAATGGCGGCACACAGGCAGATGTGTTGCTGGCAGATACACGTTGATCCCTAAGCAACAGGAAGGGAGAGCCACTTGGCCAAAGCCACCTCTAGTGGTACACTTCTTCTAGCAAGGCCATACCTCCTAATTCCTCTCAAATTCCACTCCCTGATGACCAACCGTTCAATAGCCGGGGGGGGGGGGGCATTTTTACTCAAATTTCCACAGAGGCTAAGCAAGGGGTTATAAAGGAATAGCACTGAGTTTTATGAGTTGCCTATTTGGAAGTGTGATGAGAAAGATGGGCACCATTGAGAGACGCACAGAGGAGAAGAGGGGAGAGGGCAGGATGAGCTGTGACCAGGCTGTAGACTGTGATAAAGATTGCACACAGGTCAGTAAGGGTACTAGACAGGGAGCCCAGCAAGGCCTAGCTAGGACTTGAAGATCCTAGAACACTGAAGCCTCCCAAAGCTGCAATTTCATCATGGGAAGCTTGACCTTCTGGCAATCAGTCACCCAGGATCTGCAGTTACCAGCCCTGGTCACACAGGGCTCTATCTACCCGTCCCTCCCCGCCCTCTTTTGAAGGTAAACATTTCCTAAAAGGACTCTTAATTCAAAAGCAAAAACATAATTTGTACAAAGAAATGATATTTCTTACTGAATCTCTAGACTATTGTCATTTGTCTTTAATCACATAATTTTTTAGCAGTTTGGTCAAATCAAGCCCCTTATAAACCTGTGTTATATGTTAATGATAGGCCTGTAAAATCCTTTGTTTATGTATCTTTTCCTCAGTACTGATTTGAATTTGGCAGTCCCCCTGCCTCCACCTCTCATGTAGTTGGGATTACAGGCTCAAGCCACCAGGCCCTGCCGGGCTCTTTGATTCTAAGCGCCCTGCTTTTCTTAAAATTGTTTTGTTTCACCTGAAAGACACAAGCTCGTTTGCCCGTCTCTTATCTAATCTTAGAGTGGAGAAGGGAAGGAAAATATGAAAGAGTGTTGGAAGAGGTATAGAGGGTGCGTGAGCACATAGAGGGCCGCTGTCTCTGAGAGCTCCTGTTTCTCCACCTAGTTTCACACAACAGAGCTTCACGTGGTCTTCTCATCTCTCTGCCCATGTGTACTTGTTGGATAACATAAATGAATCCCTGTTCTTTGGTTTTATTGCTGTGTATTTATAGGAGAGTTTTGAGGCTCTTATAATAAAATCTCAGAGTTAGCTATCGGGGTGAGAGCTGAAGGGTCAGAGAAGCAGAACAGTCAAGCCACTGGGGTTCTCACCTCTACCAATGCTCAGACAGGGTGACCTGTCTCTAAGAATCTTCCAGACTGCATGTTTAGATTGTGTCTGAGCTCCTGTCTCCTTCTCCCTAGTGCTGGGATTAAAGGTGTGAGCCAACACCGCCCTCCCTGGCTGTTTCTCTTTGAAACTGGATCAATCCCATGTAGCCCGGGGTACCCTTGGACTCACAGAGCTCCTTCTACTACCCCTGTCTTGCAAGTGCTGGGATTAAAGGTGTGTGGCACTGCACTGCCTGGCCTCTTTGGCTACCTAGTGGCCTAGCTCTGTACTCTGATCTCCAGGCAAGCTTTATTTGTTAGATGACTGTATCTGGTTTGGCAGCTCCGTGGGCTACTCCCAGCTTCCTGATGTAAAGAAGCTGCTTTCAATTAGTGGGAAACATTAGCTCACGTCACTTCCTGACTGCAGTTTGCTTCCTGCCAGAAATGCCCTGCTCAGTCTCAAGCCTCCTCTAAGGTGCTTTATGCCAGATGAGGGCCACAAAGCAGAGGGCAAGTGCGGAAAGGCAGGTCATGTCAAGCGCCACAAGAAAGACATGCATAAACATGACATCCACTCAAACAGCCATTCGTGTCATTGTGCTTTAAACAGATGACAAGGTTCTGAAGTGGGCTGAACTCTGATGCTCAACAAGTAACTGAACTTGTTTTCTCTGAAACGAAGCCAGGGCATGGAGTAGGGTGGTGACTTAGTTATGACTCTTGACCTTTGGAGGCTCACTGGGAGAAATGACCAAAACATCTGATAGAAGAGCTTATGGGAAGAAAGGTTCCAACTAGTTCATGTGGCAGGCAAGACTGCCATAGCAGTTTGTATGACGCAGAGACCTAGACTGAACAAAAATGAAGCAGTACCTCTCCAAGGCCAGCATCCCAGGTACCTACAGTAGCCCTTCAGGCCCAACCTTCCAAAGCACTGGTTTGCAACTTCTTTGGGAGGTGAGCTAACTGTCTTTTCACCAGGGTTGCCTATGACCAGATATTTGCATAGTGATTCATAATGGTAGCAAATTACAGTTATGAAGTAGCACAAACTAGCTTTATGATTGGAGGCCACCACAACTCATCACTTAAAGAACCCATATGGTCTCCCAAAACGTGAGCCTGTGGGCATGCCATTCAGATCAGAAGTGGGGTAGTGCTGACTCAAGGGAGTGTAACCGATGACGGCATGGAGTGAGTGCAAAGAAAGTACTGTAATAACCTTTTAGGTTTGAGCTCTGCCTTTTAGGCTGTTTCTGTGAGTCACCACTGGGTCAGTAGTAGGAAGAGTATTTTGAATAAAAGTTAACAACGGAAACAAAGAAAAGAGGTCAGAGTTTGGAAATTTTCGTGGAAATAAAGGGTCAGTGTCCAGCAGCCCTAAGCCCCTGTGTTTAAAGACTCAGCTTAAATGCATGTTTTGTGTGTGCCATGCTGTAGCAGGGCTTCCGCTGTCGGGCCCCTCATCTTCTCCCATGTTCGTAGAAGCCATCTGGATGAGGAGACACAAAGGTGGAGTCATGTGTCCCTGGATCTTGGCTTTCTTGTAAGTGGAAGAAAGCAAGGCAGGGACTCTGGGCCTGAGGGTCAGCTTCCCATGTGAGTCAGTCATTCATACACAGAGGTAGATAGTAGCATGAGCATGTAGGAGCCCAGTCATCATGCCAGCTTATACCCAGTAATGTTCGTCTGTACTTCCATAATTGTAATCCAGAAACATTGTAGGAAGTGGCTACTTAAATTATAATTATGTTATTTAATATGCTCAAGCAGAATTGTGGTTCCTAGTTAAATATCATAAGCAGCATGCTCCTACATATACAACACACACACACACACGTTTCTGAAATCCAGTTCAGGATCCAATTTATTCTGGGTTAGCATTCTACCACTGAGATACATCCCTAGAACCCAAAGTAATTCTTTTTTCTTGTAAAGAGACTAAGATGCCAAGCATAGTTGGTCCATGTGAATAGCAGCACCTGGTGGGACAGAAGCAGGAGAATCCTGAGTTTGAAACCGGTGTGGGCTACACGGTGAGGGCCCACCTCAAAAAAATAAAAATTTAAAATTTAAACGACTAAACCGAACAGGGAAAAAGAAGACAGAGGCCAAGGCCTCATCCTGTTGGGTCTCCCACACTCTGGGTTTCTAAGACTTCATCTTGATAGCAGGTGTGTCTGTCTTCCATATTGGAAGCTGGGTCTACGTATATAGAAGGGAAATTGAACATCGTGGTGGTGTTTTGTTACAGGAAACAATTTTCCGAGGTGGTTTGTCCTGGTTTGTTTGGTTCTTTGACCTCTTGGGTTTAGGTGGTGCTGTTAACTTCCAGTCCACTAACTAGGAGTCATGACAGTGATGGTACTTTCTTTTTTTTCCCCCCCTTTGTTAAAAAGTGCTTTTAGAATACTTAGCTCCTGTTTGGTTATCCAGTATAGCAAGTGTTAGGCTGGAATTTATTTTTCTATGGGCCGGGAAGGGTGGTGTTGGTGGCTCCTGCTTGACATTTATGATATATTCTCAGGCTTTCCAGGAATAGAGTTGAGCAACTGGAAGGCCTTTTCCCTAAGGTGGAGAGTGGTGTTTGGGCCAGGGGGCGAGGGGAGTAGCTTTTAGAGTAAGCAGATTTTACAACACAGGTTCTTTCGTCTGTTCAGGCAGCTATAAGAAAATCTCTTTAAAAGTAGACGCATGGCACGTCTTAGATACTTTCACAGGCTGCATAGTAAACAAGTTTATACAGCTCAGAGGGTGAGTCCCTGTCCATCCTGACAGGGAGTACAGGAGCAGGCAGGCAGGCACTGGAAGAGGGGCTGAGAACATCCATCCTGGTCAACAAGAGTGAGGCAGAGAGCTGCAGTGGCCCCAGTGTCGGCCCCGCCTTCTCCAGCAAGGCCACACCTATTCTAACCCTAATACTTCCACCAACTGGGAACCAAACATTCCAATATATGGGCCTGTGGGGCTCACTGGGGTACCAGATCCCATTCCTCAGAGCACTGCCTGACCTAATCAGCCCCCAAATCCTCCTTCCTGACATCTCACAGAGAGGACTAAGTTCCTAAAGATGAATTCGGAAGGGATATAAACGTTGATACCATACAGCAAAACAGGGTAAGTTATTCTGCGAGAAGCAGTTCGTGCCAGTTAAATCCTGTGTTCTTCTTCCTCAAGGTGTCAGTGGATGGGGTTTTAAAGACCATGAAAGAAAATGCCAACAAAGCCAAAAGCTTACTGCTTACTACGATTCCACAGATAGGATCTATGGAGTGGTCAGAAACGCTTCGAAATCTGAAGGTGAGTGGCCTTGCCCCTGTAAGCAGACACGTCTGTGGCTCTAACCATCTTTCCCCTGGCTTTCACTTTGAATTTGGTCCATCTCCTCCTGTAGTTTACACAAGACAGCTTGTTTTGTTTTTGGCAAACTTTCACGCCTTCAGTTAGTACTGTTCCCTCTCCTTCACTGTCCCGGGTTCTCTACACGGTCCTGGAGTTATCTTTATGTCTTGGTTCAGAAGGCTAGTGTGCTCGCTGTATACGGTTTCCAGTGTTTTTCAGCTATTTACTCTTAGGTAGGTTTGTACCGAGTGTAGGCAGGCCTTTGCAGCCAGTACTTCTATATCAATAACAATGATGTTACAACTAAGACAGTTAATTGTGATAAGCAGGTGACAAGTGGTAGATTCCGAGCTCGATTCCGAGCTCCAGTGCCCATCCTAAGGGTGTCATTTAAACTGACCTGGAAGCTTAGAAAGTGACATTTTTATTTGACCATTTTGTAGCTTTTGATTAACCAGAGTAGTGAGGAACCTCAAGTCATTCCCTGGCAGCTTCCTCTTGTATCTAAAGGGGAAGTACCTCTGAGTGTTCTCAAACTTATCTCTACTCTCAGATACCTTGACAGTCACCGAGAGGGCATGGGGCAGGGTGATAGAAGCTGTCCCTGACTGAGTTACCACCTAGGAGCTCAGGAATAAGCCACAGTTTTAGTGTGGTGGAGGCATTTTGCTGTGGTAAACGATTAATAGTGTTTTCTGTCTTGCATGGAAGGCGTCAGGGCAGCCAACATGAAGCCACCCTGCAGCTGGAAAGTGGCACCTGTGAACTGATACAAACAGGTTGCAGCATGCCACTATGACCTACTGTGACCGTAGGGTCTCAGACGTTAGGGCTAGGAAAGCCACAATGTTCTAATTCATAGTGTCTTCCCTGAGAGGAGACGCCCCCGCTAGTTTCAACACTGGATACCTGGGAGATAAATGTTTATCTAATGAGTCCATAAATTTTCCTCCCAGGAAGTGTTCTCTCACAGTTGAGGTGAAAAAAAGACTATTCTAACTGGGGGGGGGGGGGGGGGCACAAGATAAAAAACAATCTACCAGTTATAAGCTCGTGCTTTGAACTAAACAGGTTCTAGCAGACCAACCTGGTTCTAGCCACCTGACTGGGTTCCCCTGTGGCCAGTTCTGAGTCAATGTTGGACTCACACGATATCCAGTCATGAACCTTCCTTAAAAAGAAACCTGAGGCAGGCTCGGACAGTGATCGGAAAAATCAGTGATCTTTCGAAGATGGAGGTGTGTGGTTTTGTGAATACGCACTTAAAGTGGGTTAATGGGTATGGCATTGATTAGGTGTCGAACAAGAGCTGAAGAAATGAAGAATTGCCCTGTAGACAAAATCAAGTGCTGTGGTCTCCATTCTGGAATAGTGAGGAACCCAGTGCTAATGATTCTTATCATATCTGAAATGTGTACCTTTCCCTCACTAGTTCATTTCAGAAACATTAGTCAGTTTACTCATTGTGTGTCCAAGCTCCAGATTAGAATAAAACTCAGATGTAGGGCGTGGCAGTACACGCCTTTAATGCCAGCACTTGGGAGGCAGAGGCAGGCAAAGCTCTGTGAGTTCAGGGCCAAGCTGGTCTACATAGTGAGTTTCAGGCCACCCAGAGTCACAGTGAAATCCTATCTGCAAAAGAAACAAACAAACTCAGAAAAATACCCAGAGACTCCCAGTGATACTGAGGGTCCCATCGTGTTGCCAGCTTAGACACATTAAAGCTTCACTGACTTCGCAGTGGCATAAGGATAAGGAGTGGGCTCGCCTGAATAACGGCTGAAGCTGGGAGAGGGTATATACAGTGTCCTGACGCCTGAAGCAGAGGGACGTGTGTGATTCTCAGAGCCGTCCCCTGAGATGTGTGGTACTGACCTCACCTGTCGGCAAGAAAAGGAACAGCCAAGAATTGAGAGTCACTGCTAAAGTCCCATATCTGGTTAGCGTTGTTGCTGTTTTATTAACGACATTTCTAAAAATTTATTTATGCGTGTCTATAAACAGAGGTACACTTGCCACGGTGAGCGCGTGAAGGCTCAAGGCCATCTTGTAGGAGCTGATTCTCATTCCACCATGAATGCAAGCTTCCAGGCTTGGTGGCAAAGATCTTTACCCCCTCAGCCATTTCACCCTCCCCATTTAGTGGTTTTTAAATTTTGGTGAGCATGGGAATTATCTGGAGAGTTTAAGAAGTGTGTGTCCCTGTGAATCCTTAGTAAACTCCGAATCTCAAGGCTCCTTCTTGTTGTTGTTTTCACCTGGAGAATCTCAATGCTTTTTCTTCTTCTTGTTTTGACTTGTTAGGAAGTCTTGGGGTAATTGGCATGCTCTCTACTGCCTGTAGCTCATCTCTGTGACTTTCTTCCTTTCAGAACATGGTCCAGTGTTCTGTTTTACCACCAAGACATTGAAATGACATGGCCACCACAAGGAGACTTACTACTTCTAGTCTTTGGGAAATTTTGCTTAAACAAAAAATGGGAAAGGTACGTGGCCTTCATTCCTTTTCTGGGAAAGAAGAGCATGTGGTAAGAAAGAGACAGTGCACTCCACTGAGATACAGGCTCCTCGGGAACCTGGAAGGAAAACAACAGCCTGCAGAAATGTAAGGGAACGAAGCCAAAAACCTTGTCAATCATTTCTCCTACTACACTGGCAACCATGAAGACTGGTGAGGATGTCTGTCCATTTTCCCACACTGCTGATGACCTGTGAGCTTCAAATGGGACTGTGGTTGTAAATTGGCACCATCCTTCTGGGAGGCAGTTTGGTACGTTGCATCTCGGGCTTAAAAATACTGAATGCACTTTGGTACGCTGGAATTTCTCTTTAAGAACTTATGGGAGATTCATTCAAAGAATCATGTAAAGAAGGCAAAATATCCTAAACAATATGGAAAAATTAAATGTACCATGTTCCTGTTATACTTAAGCCATGAAGCAATCAAGTAGAAATCATATTTTCTCAGAAAGAAATGGTCACTTCATACTGTGAAATGAGGGGGAAAAGTATAAGCATTTATGATACTGGTTTTTTGTTTTAAATGGTGTGTAAATGTACAAAAAAAGACTAGAAGGGAATATATATAATCCTGCTACTGTATTTGTGAAGAGATGCTGGATAATTCTTACTTTCTTTTGATCTTTTTCTCTACTTTTTTTTAAAAGTGAGTATAATCAAATAATAAAGTTGCAACACTTAAAATGGACTTAGAGAAATCAAACTCTTTGAAACTCTTGGTGGGGAAACAAAGATGTTTATAAAAGAAGCGCCGTGTGATGCAGGATCTACAATCCAGATAGCATGCACACCCCTACATGCCTGCACTCAAAAAAAGACAAACAAACCAAAGTGTGCTATGTGAAAAACAGATCTTTGTTTAAGATCACCACAGATGGGCTGGAGAGATAGCTCGGAGGTTAAGAGCATTGACTGCTCTTCCAGAGGTCATGAGTTCAATTCCCAGCAACCACATGGTGGCTCACAGCCATCTATAGTAAGATCTGGTGCCCCCTTCTGGCATGCAAGCATACATGGAAGGAATGTTGTATACATAATAAATAAATAAACGTTTAAAAAAAAAGATCACCACAGATGCAACCACTCGGGACTGTGACTGAGAAGGCTGGTGTTCACTGCTATGGTGTGTCAGAGGCAAACTGCTTCAAGCACTACTGGTGTGTCTCATTGCCGTATATCAGATCATTTTTACACTACCATTTCTTCTCCTCTGTCTTAAGAGTTGACCCTTTCTCGGTTGGCAGTGTTGTATTTGAAAACAAGAAAGGAAGGAAGGAAGGAACCGGAAGCCTAGTGTTTTGTCGTAGGATACTTTTTGTTACCGCCATGGGCTATCTTGTAAAGTGAGTGTGCTCGTGTCTGAAGCTGACTTCAGGAAAGTAAGCAACTGATTGTAAGGGTAAATGAACCAGTTGCTTCAGCCGTCATGTTGAGCCCCTGGTAAGTGTCATTGTAACTTTGGGCCCATGTTGCGGAGCTTCCTGCTCTGGTTATTAACAATGTGTAGAGACTTCGTGGGTCCTGACCGGGGTCTTGGTAGGTTTTACTTCCCTGGGGTGTGCCTGGTTCATTCCTCCACTCTTATTAGAGTGTCGAATTGGGGAGTGGGCGTTTGTCTTGTCGCCTCCGGTATGGAAGAGTGCTTTTCCTCAGTGGCCTTTTCCAGCATCGTCATAAGCAGGCTTCTTCTTCCTGAATCCTTCACTGCGATTAGAATTGCATATAAACTTACACTATCTACCCTCTTAGCTATTTAAGTGTCGCTGAAAATACATTTGTATTGTCTTTTCCTTCATGTGTATTCAATACAAAACAATGGGTTTTATTCTGTCATTTTTATATACATATCATATGCATCATCATTTATCCCACGTTATATTCTCTTGTGCTACCCCTCCCCCTCCCAAATAATGTTCCCCGTACTTTAATGTCATCTAATCTATATTCTGTATATGAGAGAAATGTGTTTGCCTTTCTAAGTCTGTCTGTCTTAGCACGATGCTCTCCAGCTCCATCCATTTTCCGACAGGTGAGATAATTCTTCTCTTCTGACTAAGTAAAATCCCAATGTGTATGCATACCAATTCCTCTATCCATTCATAGTTCATGCACGTGTAGGCTGATTCCTGATTTTGGCCGTTCTGAATAGTGTTTCAATAAACATGTGTTTGCAGACTTCTCAAATGACCAAAGTATGCTCCTGCTCTTGGGTTGAGTCTTGGCTATTGCTGTTAGTATAGAAACTCCACTTGGAGAACTTCTACCTGAACCATTTCTGTCTGGTTGTCCTTTAGACAGATTCTAGCCCTCGGACTTCATCAAGGACTTTTATTACTTGATCCATTGTGCTTTTATCTCAACCATTCCTTGCTCTTTGTTACATCATTCCAGCACACAGTTCCATCTACAATGAAGAGTGGGGAATCTGCTCACTTTATCATTTTTACACAGTCCGGGATCCCAGTATAAGGATGCCCCCCCACACACAAGTGGGTGTGTCTTCCCGCTTCAGTAAACCCAATCAGTATAATCTTTAACGTGCCCAGAGTTCATCTCCTGGGCGACTCTAGATCCCATCAATTGACAACTAATGTTAAGCATCACAGCTATACCTGTTCTCCATTCTTTAGGTTCTATTCTTAGATTCTATTCAGGTTTTGACGCCATCCCCGCCCCCTCCTCTGTTCCACCTTCCCCTTTATCTAATCTGCTCACTCTCTGACAGCCTATCCTGTCCTTCCCAAACACTTCGTTCTCTTGTGACACTGTTACAATTTCCTGTTTCATTGTCCTTTGGTGTGGCTATCTTCACTTTTGTATCCACAGATTCTTGACACAGTGACTAACGCAGAAGCGGTTCTTTTTGTACTTCATAAATAATTGTGCAAGTCTATGAAATTTCGGCCCGATCATATTTCAGCCGTCTTTCTATTTCCAGCTGGAGTCACTGGTTCCAGAACCCTGATCAGATGTGCCCAAGGTAAATAGTTCATCCTGTGTGTTTTCAGGCCACCTAGAGTCTGTGTTACCCAAGGACCATTTGTCATCATGTACAACATAAAGCTATGTACATATTCTGTCTTCCAAGTAGATAATGAAAAATTGGAAAAACAGGAATTCTGAAAAAAGAAAATGGCTTAAGTGTTAAGTAATAAAAACCCAATGAGTTATTTAATATACTCCCTGATTTGAATTTTGTGCCTACTAATATTGTCCTGCAATAAATGAATGAAACATTTTCTTCCTTTTCAAACTATGATATTTAAAACTGTTAATCCTTTGGTTATAGGTTTTGTTCATTTTTAAAAAAAGAAAAACCCTCCTTCTTGAAGGCCTTGTTTGCCTCTTGTGCCCATAGTGGATCATCAGAATGTCATTTGTGTGTCTATACATTCGCCTCCACGCACATGCATGTGTGTAGACTTTAGTGTGTGTGCAGGTGTGCACATGGCACAGCAAGCGTGTAGAAGTCAAAGAGCTGCGAGTCGGTTCTCCTATCATGTGGATTCCGGGGATCAGACTCAGGCGGTCAGACGTGACCCTTCACATGTATCTTAAGCTTCATTTAGTTGGTTATCTCTCCCTTTGATACAGGGAAAGTCTCTACCCTCAACTTTCACCAAATGTTAATCACAGGCCTCACTTCTATCATTTTTATGTATGAGCCAGATCTTGAGTAATTATTAAGAAAAACTCTTGGGTTTTGGCGTGTTTTGTTTGGCCTCTTTTGTTGTTAAGCTAAAGAAGAAAAGGGTAAACTGCTTTCCAGAGCTGCCCTGTGCAGTATGCAGTGAGCATTAACCGCTTTCTCCTGTCACTCTTACATATTTTGAAGACAATGACTGAGTAGGAACCGGAGTCTCAGCAATAGGCTTGGAGGCAGTCCAGGATGTGCCTGCTCTCAGTAACAATTCAAGTCGTGACAAGAGATTATGGTGGATACTTCAGTGGAGAGGCATAGAGCCCCTTTGATCTCTCACCAATCCATGGCTGACTGTTGATGGGCCCAGTCTTGTGTTGGTCCATCGCAGGCAGCCACACTGCTGGACCATGCCTGCCTTGGCTGTTCTATGCACAGAGGACAGCATTTCAGAGACCCTCTCCCTGTCTTCCAACCTTACATTTCTCCATCCCTCTAACACAATGATCCCTGAGCCTTAGAGACAGTGATGTGTGATGTAAGTGTTCTCTTTGGGACTGAACATTCAACTGTCACTTCTCAGTACCTTGAGCCTGACTCGGTTGAATAGCTCAAAGCTCATCATCATATTGATGATTCTGATTAAATCCTGGCTCTCAGACCAAAAAAGGAGGCCATCGTTTTATAGGAGTGGAGCGAAAGGTGAAGAGAGGCAGATTGGAGAAGTTGGGGGTACAGTGATCAGAACGTACTTTACATGTATGAAATTGTCAACAAATTTAATAAAGGTTATAATGGTGCCCTGGTGTGACAAACCAAAAATTCAACTTTTCCAGTATGTTCGGTCTCTTCACATTAGCCAATTGGTCATGTTGGTATCTTACTGTTTGCCAGAACCCTATTCTTTTTTTTTCAATTTGTATCTTGTTACTTTGGTAGAGATACAGAGTAAAAAATAATATTTGTGTTCATAAAGTACCCAGAAGAGAACAAACTGAGGTTTCCAGTTATTAGATTTTGAGTTGTCCAACATATGCGTTAGTCTTAAGAACAACTGTTAAATTTTGAAAATAGGTCCTCTCAAAATGCACATGTAGAAAGTTAATTCATTGTGCAGTGGTATCAGGGAGTGAAGAGATGTTAGGTCATGAAGGTCCTTAGACACCCCAAAGGGCTCTAAATGCCCCCTTCAACCCTGTGAGAACATGGCAAGAAGACTCCATTTTATGAAGCAGCAAGAACCTTGATATTGGTCTTCACCTCTCCCAAAACTATGAGCTATACATTTTTACTTGTTTTCTCATGTGCAGTTGTTATAAGAGCCCAAATGGACGAATCCAGCAGCCAACAAAAAAGTTGCACATCAGTCAGTTTAATCTGAATAGTCATGGAAAGAAATAGAGCTGTAGTTACAGTCCTGTTTCACAGAATTCATCAGGTCTTGGCCTCGTGAGCACAGTGTAACTTCCTGAGCCTAACTCGAGTTTGGCTACCAGTCTCTGGCCAGAACTTCCACATATGGGTGACTCAGCACAGCCCTACCTAAACCCGCCTCTGCCCAATCACCACTAACGTGGCAGGACATTATTGGCCCTTATTCCTTTCTCCACCTCACCCCATCCCAAGACTCCCACCTCCAATCTCAGCCCTTTATAAATTCCTGCCTGAAGCAATGAAACAAGATCCTGACTCTCCTCTTAGTGTGTTTCTGGAGGGGGTGGAGAATATGGGTCCTCGACATTCACTATCCCACTCAGCCCCAGGGAGAGACCGGCAGGACCAGCTCTGCCTCAGCCCTATCTGCTGGAGAACCCTGCAAACAGGGAACTGAAAAAAGAACTTAAGAAACTAGACATCAAAATACCAAGCAATCCAATTAAAAAATGGGTATAGATCTAAACAGAATTCTCAACGGAAAGATCTCAAATGGCTAAAAGACATTGAAGGAATTCCCCCAACATCCTTAGTCATCAGGGAAGTGCAAACCAAAATGACACTGAGTCTTAACACCAGTCTTAATTGCTAAGATCAAAAACACAAGTGGCAGCTTATGTTAGACAGGATATGGAGTAAGCAGAACACTCCTCCAGTGCTGGTGGGAGTGAAAACTTGTACAGCCACTTTGCAAATCAGTGTGGCAGCTTTTCAGAAAACTGGGAATTAATTTACCTCAAGACCCAGCTATACTATTCTTGAGCATATACCCAAAGGATGCTCAATCATACCACAAGGACACCTATTCAACTATGTTCCTAGCAGCATT